AGTATGTCATTGATCATAGTAATTAGTCCATAAGGAACCTCTATAAATATCGGGATTTTTGACTGTGCAGCTCCTTGGAAGGGCCACTAGTATTGGAGCATATGTGAAGCGTGGGGAGAGTTCAGGGTATATCAAAATCTCGTTAAGAGGGGAGGCTAAAGATGAGCCGGTTATAATTGTCCGTAAAATTGATACACGTAACAAGTCAGAATGGTTGTTCAATGGTCAGATTTTAATTCTTTAATATTCATTAGGAAAATTGATTACATTTTTCGGTTAGTAGCGGAGTTCTTTTTTATATCGCTTACATTAGAATGGAAGTCATTTAGATTAAAGGGATGCATATCTAAATGATCTGTGATGCAAGATTGACAGCGATGTTCTCATACTTGCTTGTAGGGCCTTAAGTGTGTGTATGCTGTGTTATTACTATAGTAATGAATATTGCTATTAGCTCTTTATCATTTGCCGGTTTTAGGTAAACTGGTGCCTAAAAAGGATGTCATGGAGATAATTTCAAGATTCAACATTCAAGTCAATAATTTAACTCAAGTAAGTTCTAATCATCTAGAAAAATATAGCATGTTAGCATTTAACAGCATAAAGATATTTTTTTTTGAAATAAACAGCATAAAAATATAACTTAATTGTCTTTATGTTGATTCATATGCTATGTTTGGTTTGTAATGTTCAAAGAATGACTATCATGTTTCGTGGACGAGCACCCTTTGAGCAATGGGAAAGATTTAAGGAATCTAATGGATATTTTTTCCAGGATGGCCTTGCGAATTAAGTTTGCCTTTGCTGTTCTCTTATAATTTTTTTAAATGACCAATTGAATCCAATTTGTAGTTAATCTGGCCTAGTTGCCTAAATAGGCGTGGTTTTTTAAAGTAGCGAAGGCTTTGTTGGCATCTAGGTTCTTTCCCATGCTTTCTACTTTGCATTTGTATGTCTTCCCTCTTGTGGATTTTTGGGATTGTTGAAAGAAATATATTTAAAACAGTAAAACACTTTAACTTACTTAAAATTAATAAGCGGATATTTCAAAACTTTAGGTTTGAGTTTTCACCAATTGAGGTTAGAATAATGCAGAACAAGAAGATTTAAAGATGAAAATATTTCAATTATAACAGATATTTTTGTAATTGTTTTTTTTTATGGATAATTAAGATATTTAACTTATTTAAGAATTAATACCTATAGGTTTATTAGGGGTTTGAGTTTGTTTCTACTCAGTTAGGATGATATTTAGTTATTCTTTGGTATATGTTACTCAATTACTTAGCTTATTTTCATATTTTAGTCAAATTCTATTAGGAACCTGGTTGTGGACTTG